TCTGGGCAAACCATCAATGTTTGTTATTACCATGTACTTGTATAGAACTTTACAGCTTACAAAGTGTTTTCCCATACAGTACTGCATCTGGCCAGTAAACCTGTAGAAAGAGTCGGAGAGGACAGTCTGTGTTTGTCTAATGTGAACATTGTATCATAGATGTTAAATAATCTGTACAGGAGAACAACTGGCAAAGTGTCAAGGAAGATATTCAAACTCTCTGAGAAACATCTAAGTATACATTTTTAGCAGTTCAAAGATGTCTATCTCTCTTTTTCATGGCCTTTTCTCAGATGACATCAGAGAAATTATTTTTCAACAGGGGATGTGTGTTAAGTGTGTGAGATTTATATTTGTGGCTTTAGCAACAGCAAATGACTTTTTAAATGAGAATATTAGTTTCAGAGGAAGACAAGAAAGAATTATACTCAAAACTTCATTACATCTTAAGAGTACACCCATATCGTTAACTAGTTTAAAACCAAAATCTGCTTGTAACTTCTCCTAATTGCTGTCTTATTTCACTTCCCCAATATTTGAAAATAATTTATGGCTGAAAAATATTATATAAAAGGAACACAATAATATACTGTCCCAGTAATAGTAGAAAAATATCAAAGTAACTCAAAAATATTGGCATTGATTTAAAAAAATTCTACAAGATTGACTTTTAGAATTGTTGATGAGACAGTTGAAAACACACCTTTCAAGGTAAGTCTCAGAAAATAATTTGGAGTGGGTGTGTTTTTCTCACCATTCCCTCCTCACCAACACAATATTACCAAGTGATTATTTTAAAAAATGTAGATAACCTACATGGGAAGTCCTTAGAAGACTGTAACTATAATTAAGTCATCTGGGCAGCTAAAAAAAGGAAAAAAAAAAAAGAATACATTTTACAAAAAACTAAAACCAATAATCAAGGTCTTTAAGTATAAAAATTTAAAAATGTAAAAACATGAGACCACTCACTGTCATTGGAGGGCCACTGACTTTGTTCCAGGATTAAAGTGAAACAAGCAGAGTATAGCTTCTGCTTGTTCTATCTTCATCTAAGAGCCTATAGGTGACCCCTCAGGATTTTGTTACCTAAACACCTGAGATAAACATCTAAAAGGAAAGCTAAAATTAACTCCCAGGCCTGACTGCATAACATTGAGCTTATTTTTAATGGTTTGTCACCTTACAAGGCAGACCTTATATATTCTTAGAACCTGGAGTATAAGACGTGATGTACAGTTTCAAGTTATCTATAGGAAAAAGTGAAAAAAAAAAAACAACCTTGAAAAGCTGAGGTAGGTCCCAGAGACAGAATGTTGTCAGCTTACAAAAAAAAAAAAAAAAAAGCACAAGAGAGTTGCAAGTTGTTTTATTTGGGGTAAAATAGAGACTATAGGCCAGGAGACTGCATTTCAGATAGCTCTGAGAAACTGCTCCAAAGAGGCAGGGGGAAGGTCAGTACATATGTTGATTTGCTGAAGGGGAAATACATCAATAGAGTACATATTTTTTGCAGGTTTCTGTTAGTCATGATGGACAACTGTCATCATGGACTTCAGTGCTTTTCTAGATATTAGGTGATATAAGAATTAGACTCATAAAATGGGCTCCTGAAAATATCTGAAGACCTGTCCTGACAGTTTTCTCCCCAGCACAGAGTGCTTCATTTCTGCTCTCCACTCTGAACTCCTTTCAGGGGTTGTCGAAAATCAGCAGTTGCAGAAGCACATGATTTAATCCTTGTGGAGGTAGATGGCAAGTGCCAGTTTATGATTGACTATATATTAGTAAACTCTTGTTGGCAAGAGTAATCTAAGTAATCTATATAGATCTATGAGAGGTCTAACATTTCAAGGTCAAAGCAAAATAGATCTTACCCTTTTCTCTTTCTACTCTTCTCCCTAAATCTCTCTCCTAACCCTAATGTCCTTTTTTTTTCAACCTTGCATCTTAACTTGGATTTCTCTACTTCTCCTTGCCCTCACAAAACTTTCCCTCCATTAATTAAAAATTGAGAACACACGTAAATGTTCTATGCAATTATATTTATATGGTCGTCTTCAACTATATGCTTCTGGTTCTTAAAATTTGCAACACAGTATAGAAGGGCTTACCAGGTGGCTCAGTGGTAAAGAATCCACCTGCCAGTGAAAAGAGATGCGAGAGGTACGGGTTTGATCCCTGGGGAAGGGAGATCCCCCGGAGGAGAAAGTAGCAGCCCACTAACAGTTTGCCTAGACACCTGGTAGCTCAGCTGGTAAAAGAATCCGCCTGCAATGCAGGAGACCCCAGTTTGATTCCTGAGTTGGGAAGGTCCCCTGGAGAAGGGATAGGCTACCCACTCCAGCATTCATGGGCTTCCCTGGTAGCTCATATGGTAAAGAATCCGCCTGCAATGTGAGAGACCTGGGTTCAATCCCTGAGTTGGGAAGATCCCCTTGAGAAGGACATGGCAACCGACTTCAGAATCTTGCCCAGAGAATCCCATGGATAAAGGAGTCTAGCAGGCTACGGTCCAAAGGGTCGCAAAGTCAGACATGGCTGGAAAACCAAGCACAGCAACAGTTTGCCTTGAAAAGTCCATGAGCAGAGGAGCCTAGTGGGCTGTGGTTCACGGGTCACAAAGAGTTAGACACAACTAAGCAAATGAGCACACACATTGCAGAGAGAAGGCTTGTCAGCCAGAAAAATCAATGGCGAGCCCTAGGTCTGCCACTATTTTTGTGACAGGGGCAAAATAACTTCAAAAGAAAGAGAACTAAAATGTCTTTATTCAAAATTTAGATATATAGCTCACTTAGCATAGTTTCGGAGAAGGCAATGGCACCCCACTCCAGTACTTTTTTTTTTCCATTAATTTTTTTAGTTGGAGGCTAATTACTTTACAATATTGTAGTGGTTTTTGCCATACATTGACATGAATCAGCCATGGATTTACATGTATTCCCCATCCCGATCCCCCCTCCCACCTCCCTCTCCACCTGATCCCTCTGGGTCTTCCCAGTGCACCAGCCCTGAGCACTTGTCTCATGCATCCAACCTGGGCTGGTGATCTGTTTCACCCTTGATAGAAAGATAAAGACCCACTCCAGTACTCTTGCCTGGAAAATCCCATGGACGGAGGAGCCTGGTAGGCTGCAGGCCATGGGGTCTCTAAGAGTCAGACACAACTAAGCGTTTTCTTTCACTTTTCACTTTTATGCATTGGAGAAGGAAATGGCAACCCACTCCAGTGTTCTTGCCTGGAGAATCCCAGGGATGGGGGAGCCTGGTGGGCTGCCGTCTATGGGGTCGCACAGAGTTGGACAGGACTGAAGCGATTTAGCAGCAGCAGCAGCAGCAGCAGTTTCATGGTTTTTCCACATAATAAAGCAAGCACAAAATTAAAAGTGAATGCGATTACTCAAGACATCCATCCACCTTATTGTTCAGTTGTTCAAATTTATGTTTCCACTTTATTTTAAAATAATTTGTTCAAATCAGGATACAAAGGTGCTATCTGCATTTACTTTGTGTCACTTAAGTCTCTTTTAACTTAAAGGGTCCCCCTCCCTTTTCTTGCAATTTGTTAACAAGGCCAAGACATTTACCCTGTAGAATTATCCCTATTCTGGATTTTGTTGATTGTATTCCTATGGTGTTCTGTAACATGTTCCTTTGTGCTCTGTATTTCCTATTAATGGACAGAGCTGGAGGTTTGATCAGATTCAGGCTTTTTTTCCCCCGTCAAGACACTTCATAGATGGTGCTGGGCACTTTTAATCTAATTGTATTATAAGGCACATCATGAAGATTAACCAATGAGTTCATCAGGTGCTGCCATTTCATCCAAAATTCCTCATCAGCATTTCAATTAATAGCTTCAACAGCCACTGATAAGCACTGCCTGCTGCTGCTGCTAAGTCGCTTTGGTCGTGTCCGACTCTGTGCGACCCCACAGATGGCAGCCCACCAGGCTCCGCCGTCCCTGGGATTCTCCAGGCAAGAACACTGGAGTGGGTTGCCATTTCCTTCTCTAATGCAGGAAAGCGAAGAGTGAAAGTAAAGTTGCTCAGTCGTGTCCGACTCTCCGCGACCCCATGGACTGCAGCCTACCGGGCTCCTCCGTCCATGGGGTTTTCCAGGCAAGAGTACTGGAGTGGGGTGCCATTGCCTTCTCCAAGCACTGTCTAGCTCTTGTCAATTTATTAGGAATTTTTAAATGGTGATATTCTAATACTTATTCTTCATATATTAACTATAATAATTCTATAAATTCTTCCCCCTCAATTATTTGATTATCCTGGGATAAGGCAGGATAAATTCTTCTTTCTCTTCAGATTTCCAGTTTTCAGAATAATTCCTCAACATCTTCCCAAAGGTAACTGAGTTGGTTTGTTTTGTTTTGCCCTCTTTTATCATTCTGAATGCATAAGTTACATATTTAATACATTTTATTTCAGTTATTCTTAATGAACATCAAAGTACTCCACATAAATCACCAGTTGTTTAGAATCCCTCATTGGATTTTGGGTTTCTGAGAAAACATCTTCAAGTTTCTGAAAGCTCTCTTGCTTTGGCAATACTTAGGTATTAATTTTTCCGATGTGAAATTTTTGTTGGGAGGAGAAAAGTGCATGTATGAATCGAATGATCTCTCTCAAAATAAGCTGGGGCAAGCAGGCCAGGGTATAGATAAAACAAGTTTGGCCACCCATTGCTAACTTCTGAAATTAGTATAAGCACAGTTTATTATTGTTCCTTGTATCATTCTCTTGTATACATTTGAAAAATTCCATAAAGAAGCTTTTAATTTCATTTTAGCAGTAAAACTGTAAAGTCACCAACTACTACAGAAAACAGAAGACAAACATACCGTAAGTCTAGCTCACACCCAACCAGATAGTTTCTCAAAATTATATCAAAGTACATGCAAGAGAAAAAAAAAACCTTATCTTTATTATCTCACTTTACATTCAAGAAAAAGTTGTATATTTGAAGTTAAGAGATAGTCTGAAAAGTGTGATTCTTAAAGTATTCTTTATTAAGATTATTAAAAGTTGTAGAAACAACTTTATATTATAAAGGCACAGGGAGACAGTTCTGATAAAATATTCAAATTAAACAGTAACTTACAGTACAAAAGACAATTTTAATGCACATACAAACCCCAAATGTCTGATTCAAAAATATTTTACTGTGTCTATTAATGGGCAATGATTAAAAATATAAATTGCTACTGTATAATAAATATCTGATAGTGAACATCTTGATAGCAAAGTGAACAAAATATTTATTGCTTTTCACATATATATTTTTCCCTGTAATTTAAAATTCCTAATTCTTTTATTATCTTCTCCTCAACTTTTCCAAAGATAGAAGAAATCCCACATAATCTCACGGGGGAAATGGCAGTTATCAAAAACTACCTCAAGGAGCAATCACTGCTGGCGCTGTTTTCTCACCTCCTGCTCTGCGATCACAGCCGCCCTTCCAAAAAGTAAGATCAATGTCTGCTAAACAGTAAGACAACTGCTCTAATGACTGGCATTCTAAGGTTTGAAATGAATACTTCTACAAATATAAAAGGTGCTCCATTTTGAAATGTGTATTTTTTTCGAAGTTTTGGGCAAGAGGCGAATGTCTGACAAGTAATTTTACCTACTCCCCTCAAAAGTTTTCCAAAGTTGTAAAAAGTCAGCTTGTAAAATTTCCAGCACTTGAATATTTCTTTGAGGGCTAATTGGCATATGTAATGTACTGACGTATAAAAATTAACATAATGCAATGTATTTTGTAATGAAGAGATCTTACCCTTCTTCCAGTTTTTAAACTGGGATTAACTTTATTGATTTCCTCCTGCTCTTTCTTTAGCAACCGTTATAGATAGTACAGGTAGAACTTCCATCACAACAGTAAAATAACATGAAAGCAACATCCTAATGAATGCTATTTCAACTTAAGAAATATCCACATTAAAGTCTTTGATAATCAATGTAAAGTTACTTAACCATATGTCATGTTCAGACAGTGTGTAGCAGCTAGTAATGCATCTGGCACAGAGTTGATGCTCAATAAATAGTTGCTGAATGAATGAAAAAGAAAAACATGGCTTTGGTTGTGCATACTTTAATCATGTTCTGATTAGAATAAGATCAGTCTAGAACTAAATACTGCACACTACATCAAACTTTGCTGTAAACAAAAGTTATGATTTCAAACAGAAAAATATCACCTACATTAGCTTTAGCCAATTTATATATACATATATTTTAACTTTTAAAAACAGCCGAGAGAAATTTCACACATTTGTTAATTTTTATCCACATACTTAAATTTGATGTTGTTGATGGTTAACAATAGGGAAATGAAGACCAAGTTGGACAGAATGGCTAAACCTGTCTGCTTTATAGTTAGAATTACTAGTCCATCAATAAATAAAATGTTATGATGCCAGATTAAACTCAAACAATGACTACCACGCTGATTTTTGCAAAACTACCACGCTGAAGTTACAAAAATGTAACTTAAGTTACATATGTTTGGAACAGTAGCACAATTTTTCAACAGTAAAGAATAACCAGGAAGATATGAATTTAATAATGACAGACTCAAAGTATTGGAAGTAGGATAGTAAGAATAAGTAGGTGACCAATTTTAAAATCTAGGACTAGGTCTAATTATTTCTTTGGCATATGCATTACTATCCTGGACAAGTTAGCATTTAAAAAATACTGTTTATTTTTTCCTCTCAAATTAACATCAAGGTATAGACTGCTAGTATACTCTTAAAGCATTTTAAGGGACAAAAATGACATTTTGCAACATATGCCAAAGTTCATATTAAGTGTACAGTTATAATTTATTGGCATAGAGGGATGTAACTGTTAAATAACCTTAAATGATCTCATGCAATGGTGAAACCACAGAAAGTGGGAAGAAATATAAGTATTTACACAATAAAATATTCAGTTTTCTGAAAACTGAATTCTGTTTTTTCAAAAAAAAGACACAGTAAACCTGGGAATCCTAACAGTAAATATGTACCACAAAGCCCTGAATGAAAACTAGCCCAACTGTAAATGAACACCTATAGTAACCTGAATGTGTAAAAATTTAATAAAAAACATAAAAATGGAAGAGAAAAAAAAACAACCCTATACACCAGAAGGAAAAAGTAGCCTATAAAACAGGCCAATTTAACTTGGTATTCAAAGTAAATAAAAGAGATTCACAAAATCATGACAGTAATGCAAACTAAGTCAAGTACCAAGTACCCTTTGATACACAAGCCAATATAACTATCAGACTCATTTCCAATAGCTTAACAATACTCATTAATCCAGTCAGGCATTCAGGGGCTGAAGCGGTCAATGAGAGCTCAAGCCTCCAAAGTTTAAGAACAAACTTATCTGCAGAAGCATCGTGTGATTTTTGAAATCATGTCTTATTTTGGTGGATGTTAACATAAGATCTGTCAGTGCAAGTTTATCATCCATTTGGAAGTATTACTTCCAAATTTCATTTTTCCAGATAGTTTTTGGTAGTTTTCCTTTTAGCCAGTGCTATGTAAATGAAGAAAAGCAAAGACAAGTTCACCGTAGACTACCTCACATTGTTACTTAATTGTGCTAGATATTCACGCAGTTCTTTCGCAGCCTGGAATCTGCCATAGCGCTTCTTTGGGTTGGCGCACTCATCCAGCAAGGCCTCGAGGCGGCCATCTTTGGCAATTTCACTTGGCGGATCATGGAGGAGTCCTCCAGAAGTGCCACGCCAGGTGGCATGTCTGGATAAGAGGTTCTGACAAACAGCATAATAATTGTGGTCCACAGTGGCTCGAGCACAAAGAATTTCTTTTGAAAATGATAAGCAAGCCTCTTTATCACAGTCATCAAATTTGCTTTCATACCATACATCCCAATTTTCAGGCTTATCTGTGAAAAGGGAAAGAAGAAGAAAGAGAAAAATACATTTTAGAAGACTTTTCACTGTTTCCCAAAATGTAACATTTGACTAACGAACACAGTAATGTTGGTTCTTAAAACTATATTACATTAAACATTTAAATATATTAATTTCTACAAAAACACTTATAAGGAGTCCACCAAGGCAGGGGAGAAGGATCAGACAAGGTCCCTACATACTAAAGACCAAAGGGTTCAGCTTAGAGTGAAACTCGCCATGATACAAAGAAAGTGCCACATACAAGTCTGACATAGTGCTACATGAGTACAGAGGAAGCAGTATCTGTGCCTGGGACTGCAGAAAGCTGCACAGAGAACAACTAATTTAGGTTTTGAAAGATAAACAAGTCTGAAAAGAGGGAAAACAGCATGCTAGCCCCAGGGTACAGTATGTACAAAGGCATGGATCTAAGGGGTTGGCCCAGCTGGTACGGGAAATGATAAATTCACTGTGGCTAGAGCATGAGACAGGTGACTGGGGAGGAGGCACAAACAATGCTAGAGGAATAGGCTGCATCTCCTGTGGTCATGACCATGATCTGTCTAATAGAAATGTAACTCTGGGCTGAAGACTGGAGGTGCTAGGATGATGACAACAACTAAAGAAGGTCCAGGAAAAAAAAGTCAGATTGCAGAAACACTTGATACAAAAATTAACAGTAAAGTCTGAGGTTCTAACTGGATGACAAAGTAGACACTATTAACATAATATTAATATTTTATACATACAGAGTAATATAAAGTAGCTGTGAGGTATTCAGTGGAAAGGTTCATTAAAGAAACTAAAAGGCCACTGTAGCTGAAGCATTAAGGGCACTGCAGTTATGTTAAAAACGAAGCAGAACAAGGCCAAGTCACATAGATTATTCTCTGGTAAAGTGTATGAATTTTACTTGACAAACCACTGGAAGTCAATACAAGCATTAAGGAAGGGAGTGCTAAGATCAGATTTATGTTTTGAAAAAGGAACTACCTGAGTAGAAGGAAACCAAAGGAGGAAATAATTTCAGAAAGCTGTTACTAATCAGTCACTCACAAATTTGCCAATTGGGTGACTGCAAATAGTAACGTGATCTTCTAAGTCAGGTTTAATGGGCTGAGAAATGAATGGACGCTGAGGAAGTAGAGAAAGGCAATAAGCAACTTTTAAAAATAGAGGGAAAGCAGGAAAGAATCTTATGCATACTTGTTTATGGGAAAGTAAGAAAAACTAGATTTTAAGAAGGTGGGTGGGAAGTTGAAGAAACTAACTGATGCAAAAAGTTCCCAATGAAGGATCTATTTTGTCTGAAAAAAATAAATGTGTATCACTTTTACTAGTTTGGATGATAAAGGGAAGGACATTAAGGGAGTTGCCATAACAAAACCACAATTTCCCTGTAAAGGTCATTTACTAGAAAGAGTTAAGAAAAGAGGGTGAATAAATAAATACAGCCTTTTGCAAAGTGTCTATTTGGCCAACTCTACCATGAGACATTTGTAAAGAATAAGCCAGAGCTAAAAAAGCACTGGAGCAATGCTCACTGTATGAAATGCAAAAATACAGAAACTATACTGTATTCATCCAAGGTCAGGAATTAATTGATACAAAATTGTAACATGTATTCCAGGAATGTTCACGTTAAAAAAAAAATTTTTTTTACAAAAGAATTATTTTTACAAATACTGGAATAATAATGTTGCAGAGTTTAGGCAAGTCGCACAACTCTGTGTATATCTTAAAAAAAAAAAACTGAACTCTTAAAAAAAAAAGCACAGTTTAAGCTGCTGTAACTTCCACAAATGTATAAAGAGGTTAAGTGGGTAATGATGTACTCCAGAGCGGGGCATCCACTCCCTGTGAAAGGATCTGCATGGCAGATAAAAGAATCAGAAAGTAGTTTTGTGAGTATGGAATCAGAACAGGGCATTGAGAAAAATCAAGTATTTAACAAGATAAGCCAAGATAATGTAAAATGTGTCAACCTAATACATTGCTGTTACATTGACTGCATTCCAGGTACCACAAACTTTTGGTCTCTTCATCAACAGACCCACATGACAGGAGGGGATTAAAAATAACAAGGTTTTTACCATAGAACAACCCTTCAGTTTCTTTCACTAAGTACATTAGTTATAGAACCACAGGCTTTGTCCTTGAAACTAAAATTTCTATGACAATTTTCAAAACACTTCAGACATTCCTCCCATCTATCCAGTGAAGAGCTCATAAATAAAAGCAAAGTTTAATGTCAAACCAAAGTTAGAGATCTGCAGTGCTGGGAATCATCTACATGGTTAAAAAAGAATCACTGGAGGGACCTCACAGAAAAACGAAACACAGAATACCACTGTAAGAGAATGCATAGAAAAACAGACTCCACAAAAGCAGTATAGTCTCTCTGGTAACCTTTAACTAAATAAAAACTTAATTCTGGATTAGAGTCCTAAACCACAGCACATAGCAGACTGTATGAAAAAGACATGTACACACACACACCCCACACACAGTACACCTGGGTCCATCTGAACATGAACTATATTTTACTATATATGGGCAAACTGTGATTAAGAGTACAACTCTAATAAATCAGTATTTGTTTACCAGTCAAATAAAACAAAGAAAGATGCAAGGTTGCTTTCTAAGGAGGAAGTTTTAAAAATCTGCTTCATATAAATGTAAACATCTGACATAGAAAAAAAAATCTATAAGTTATATACTTACTTTGTCTGATTAACCTTTTGTCAGCAACCAAAACATTTTCAGCATCCACAATGATTACCTTCCCATCTCTAGGACCAACAGCAAAATTGTCAAAGCTGACGTCCAGGAGGTAGAGTGCAAATTCAAAGTCATTGTTTGTGAGCTGCTCTGCTATTTCCATTAATTGCCAAGCGAGGTCAACTCGTTTCTCCCATGGTGCATTAAAGTAACTCCACAGTTCTTCTCCAACATAATTTACAGCCACCATTCTTCCACAAGCTCCAAGATACTTTGCAAATGGCCAACCTTCATCAGATGGAAAACTCTACGAAAGAATTTTCTTTATTACAAGACATTCTGGTGAGGATATACTAGGTCTATCCCCTAGATTCTCACAGTAGAGATTTCTGCTAGGCATGAGCTTGGATTTTCTTGTTATATTCAATAGTTCAAAAGAGATAAACTTTTTTTTTAATTGAGGCATAATTAATTTAAAATGTGATGTTAATTTCTGTTATACAGCAAAGTGATTCAGTTATATGTATATATACATTCTTTTTAAAAAATATTCTTTTCCATTATGGTTTATCTCAGGATATTGAATACAGTTCCCTGTGCTACACAGTAGGATCTTGTTATTTATCCAATTCTATATTTAATAGTTTGCATCCGCTAGGTCCAAGTTCACCCCTACCCTTCCCCCCTTTGGCAAACACAAGTCTGTTCTCTAGGTCTATGAGTAACTTTCTTTCTTAACTCATACCATTACTATGGACTTGAAATTTTTTAATAGATAACCTCACATTATAAAGTTAAAATAAGTCTTGCTTATCGAAATCTCAGAATCAAACCGATCAACAAAACACAAGATGCCTTCTTTATTACCAGATCTAAAAGTACAGATGCTTTCCTTTATCTTTTTGACTCATGTACGTACAATCAACCAAAACTTTCTTTTGAATGAACAGGACTGCACACCTATTAGCCAGCAAGTGTTACGAGGCATCAGGCACTCTGTTATGCTGGCAGTAAGAGTAAGCTAGTCTCTCAAACAGAAATTTTAGAAGACAAATACCAAACAAATAACTATGAGTGCAATTAAGTATTAGTTACTAAAAAATGGTTCCGGTCCTAAGAGAGTATTTAATAGGGACCTCATCTAATGCAGAAGCAGGCAGGAGAGGAATGCAGAGAAAGATTCTTGGGAAATGTCTTCTAATCTGTACCCACAGGTTGGTAAAGAGCAGTCTGGTAACCCACAATGCAATCTCCACTCCAAGTATCTCTGATGCCAAGTTAGCCTTGTTTCCCTTTCCAATGTCACCACATTGTCTATTCACCTTAAATCCAACTTCAAAATTATTTGTTCTCCTGACCTTGCCAAGATTTTCTAATGGATTTTTTTAACTACTAGGGAGATTAACATCCTAAAACAAAAGTCTTCCAGGATTATGAACAAGTTATTTTCAACCTAAGTAAAATGGCAGGCTTATTCTAAAGTATTCTGTAGTACTGTAACACCCAGCTACAAGTTGAGCAAAGAGCAAAAGGGTGGGAAGTAATACTTTAAACAACTTTCAGAAGATCACGTGACCAGAGCTGTTTTTAAGAGCTATTTTTCAGAATAGTGAAGTGAAAGTGACTCAGTCATGTCCAATTCTTTGTGACCCCATGGACTGTACAATATACAAGTCCATAGAATTCTCCAGGCCAGAACACTGGAGTGGGCAGCCCTTTCCTTCTCCAGGGGATCTTCCCAACCCAGGGATCAAACCCAGGATTCCCTTACTCTAGGCCAGAACACTGGAGTGGGCAGCCCTTTCCTTCTCCAGGGGATCTTCCCAACCCAGGGATCAAACCCAGGATTCCCACATTGCAGACAGATTCTTTACCAGCTGAGCCACTAGGGAAGCTCTTTCAGTATAGTCCCTTCCCTTAAATTAGAGGAAGAAATCATGCAGATGATATTTACACAGATTGCAGGGAAAACAAACCAAAACACTATAGAATATAAATATAGCCTATGTCTATTGCTAAAAATTAAATAATCTACATAAGAGCCAGAGATGAGGCTCTTCTGGGAACTCAAGAAAAGTAGGTGGGTGATATTAATTTTACTCTGAGCTTTTATAAAATTGACAAAACTCGGTAACACTCTTACTTTAAAACTTTTATCAACTTTAAAACAAAAGGTTTATAGATGCCTTCATCCATAATTGCCTATTTTCATTTGTGCTTCCTTTTAACTCTATCAATGTAGAATAACTGTATTTGTTCTTTGTATGTATACCTTTTCCATTTAAATTTCAATATCTGCAGTTTTGTCATATATTAATTATGTAAATTAAAAATTTAGATATGCTAGTATGAATCTTTAAATATAATAAATTAATTAATTCAATTTTATTCACAGACAATATCTGATTCTTTAGTAATTAGAGGAAAGTACATTTTTTATCTTATCCGAGATTTTAAAACTTCTTGTGGGTACTGGGGAAAGTGACAGATTGCTCGTTTCCAATGTGTCATGCAAAAACTGCTGACCATACGTTATTTTCAGCTTTTCCTCCCAACTTAAAATACCTCCATAATCTTCAAAATTTATAGGCAAAATGACTACAAAAGATTTAACTATTTCTCAGAAGTATTCATGTATAAAATCTGATATATAAAACAAAAGCACTGAAAATAACTAAGTATGTGAGATTATATAGTTTTCCAACGCAAAAAATAAAGAACTCCTCCACATACACTATTGGTATATTATTCACATGCCATATTGTCAAACAGATACAAACATATCTTTGTGAAACTAAAATGGTCTTTGACAACAGGAGAAAAGGGAACCCTGCCAACATCTGCACATGTACAAATGCCTCCTTGTTTTTGGAACCTTTCCAAGTGAACGACAGTCAAATATATACCTCATTATTCAAGTCTCTCATGGAAGAGAATAAAATATATGAACAAATGTCATATTGAGCAACTTTATATTCATACAGCAATTTCTGACAATGTTAAATGAAATCATGTCATGCCTCATTTTAAGAAGAGCACAATTCTTTCATATAATTTGCTACCAAATCTTTTGGAAGAACTTTAACAAATGAATTCACATCACTTGCTCATATGAAAAGAACTTTTCATTGAATAATCAAAAGTTATACTTCATTAATAAGAACAGAATTCTACTAAGCATTCTATTAAAAATGCTCCAACGAAGCCAAAATATTTATAATTTGTATTTAAAACAATCTGGCGTAGAATCAAACGTACCATGAACGAGCAGAGTTTGAGAGACAAAAATTTTAAGATGTTACCACTTGGATTTATTAAATATATCAAGCAATAAGAAACAGAACATCTTACTTCCTGATTACCAAACTCCCATAGTGCATAAAACACAGTAGCTAGGATAAGAAGTATACTGCTGAGGTCCACTTTTTTTTTCTTTAAACAAAATCTTAAAAATCTGCCCATTGTGCTAGGCAGATTTTCAAACTGCCTAACACAACAGGCACACATTTCAAGTACCTTGAAATAAAATGTGTGTTTCATTTTTACTTTACTTTTTGTTGATGTATAGGTGATTTACAATATTATGTCAGTTTCTATTGTACAGCACAGCGATTGAGTTTTCATCCTTTTTCCTTATAGGTTATTTCAAAATACTGAGTATAGTTCCCTATGCTAGAGTAGGTTCTTGTTGGTTATCTATGTTATATATAGCAGTGAGTATATGTTAATCCCAACTTCCTAATTTATCTCCCACCCACTTCCCTTTTGGTAATCATAAATTTTTTTTCAAAAGTGTACAAGTCTCTTTTTGAAGTAAGTTCATCTGTATCCTTTTTTTTTTTTTTTAAGATTCCACATATAAACAATATTAATATGATTTGACTTTGTCTTGCTTACTTCACTTAGTATGATCATCTCTGGGTCCATCTTTGTCACTGCAAATGCCATTAGTTCATTCTTTTTATGGCTGAGTAATATCACATTGTGTATATATACCACATCTTCTTGATCCATTCATCTGTAGGTCGATATTTAGGTTGCTTCCATATTTGGTTATTCTACATAGTGCTGCAAGGAACCGTAGGATACATGTATATTTTGGAATTATGGTTTTCTCTGGATATATGCCTCGGAGCAGGATTGCAGAACCATATGGTAACTCTTCCCTGGTAGCGTCCCATATGAGCTTCCCTGGTGGCCCAGTTGGTAGAGAATCTGCCCACAATGCAGGAGACCTGGGTTCGATCCCTGGGTCAGGAAGATCCCCTGGAGAAAGGAATGGCAACCCACTCCAGTGTTCTTGCCTGGAGAATTCCACAGACAGAAGAGCCTGGTGGGCTAGAGACCATGGGGTCTCAAAGAATCAGACATGACTGAGCGAGTAACACTTTTACTTTCTTTCATGGCAACTCTATTTTTAGTTTTTTAAGGAACCTCCATACTGACCTCCATAGTGGTTGCACCAATTTATACTCCCACCAACAGTGTAGGACGGTTCCCTATTCTTCTCATACTCTCCAGCATTTATTATTTGTGGACTATTTGATGACAGTCATTCTGACCAGTGTGGGGTGGTAAGTCATTATAGTTGTGATTTGATTTTTCTAGTGGGGGTGCTGAGCATCTTTTCATGTGCCTTTTGGCCATCTGTTTGTCTTCTTTGGAGAAATGTCTGCTTAGATCTTCTGTCCATTTTTTGATGGAGTTGTTTGTTTTTTGATCTTGAGCTGTCTGAGAAAATGTGTGTATTTTATAGGATTATTTACTAGTGAAAAAATGCATACAAATACTTTTCATCTGAAAGGGAGTCTTTAAACCTAGAATGGTTTAAATTCTAACTGGATTGGAGGCACTACAATTAATTGTTCAGGATTTTTCATCAGGTTTGAATATGTCATACAGTATGCAAAGTTATAACTAAGTATTAGTTTAAGATTACACAAAATGGTTAAAAAACATATTTATTACTCTATTATTGCTTTTTTTTACATTAAGTGGGTGACCACCCAAAGAAAAAGTTTGAGTATTACTACCAATGTAATAATTAAAAATGGAAATTTAAGTATCAAGTCAAAAATGCTTCACTCTAAGATTTAAAGCAACATTAAATGCTTTCATTGTTAATTAACATAGTATTTTGAATATGAAACCTAAGATATATCATCATGTCTAGGTTATCTTTAACTTAAAATCAAGGTTTCAGAAACTACTAGGATCATCTTTATTTTATGAGAAAATAAAATACATACAATCAATATAGTAAAGAGACAATTCAGATATTTTCTATTCTTTAAGATACATAATATA